ACAGTTAGTGCCATCTATCCAAATTCGAATAAATATGTTACCAACACCCCTGCCAGTTACCCAGAGATCATTTTATCCCTACCCCAGGGCTCATTTTATACATAGGTGCGTATAAAATGATCCTTTACTAAACTTTAATAAAAATCTCTAATACAAAAAAACTACATACATATCATGAAAATTAAGTATGCAGTTACAAAGTTAAGTAAATTCACTTCCTCTATCAATAGAAATCTTGCGATTTTGCCTTCAACTTTAGCCACAGTTAAGTTTTTTCCTTCTGATTTCGGATCATTATACCTCACCTTACCCTACATCCATCTAGCCACACTCACAAACTTCCGCTTTTATAATATTATTAAGATTAAAAAATCTTGTTCTTGTATACAATATAAGTTATATTCCAGAAGGACATTTAAGCCTAGTTATAAACGTCAATACAATTTAATACATTCTAAATGTGTTACCGGGAAATAATCGGCAGCCAAATAACACTCGCGGTCAAGTTTTACGACCTTCGGTTAACTGTTTAACAAGTTAATTATCATTCAACTCGGGACTTCAGTTTATTGTTTTCATGTACGAACATAGATAAGAAACATACATAGTGCAAAATACATAGTCGTATAAAAGTTGACGACCTCTGTGCTTGTGATACGCTGGTCAGTGTTAATTAGGTTTCAGGTTCGAAATTCAAATATTTGTCAATTGTTTGTTTGGTACTGGCTGTCTGTTTGGATGTACTGGATTCAAATGTTTGTATACTGAAATACAGTCATATAAAAATTAACGACCTCTGTGCTTGTGATACGCTGGTCAGTGTTAATTAGGTTTCAAGTTCGAAATTCAAATATTTTTCAATTGTTTGTTTGGTACTGGCTGTCTGTTTGGATGTACTGGATTCAAATGTTTGTATACTGAAATACAGTCATATAAAAATTAACGACCTCTGTGCTTGTGATACGCTGGTCAGTGTTAATTAGGTTTCAGGTTCGAAATTCAAATATTTGTCAAATGTTTGTTTGGTACTGGCTGTCTGTTTGGATGTACTGGATTCAAATGTTTGTATACTGAAATACAGTCATATAAAAATTAACGACCTCTGTGCTTGTGATACGCTGGTCAGTGTTAATTAGGTTTCAGGTTCGAAATTCAAATATTTGTCAATTGTTTGTTTGGTACTGGCTGTCTGTTTGGATGTACTGGAATCAAATGTTTGTATACTGAAATACAGTCATATAAAAATTAACGACCTCTGTGCTTGTGATACGCTGGTCAGTGTTAATTAGGTTTCAAGTTCGAAATTCAAATATTTTTCAATTGTTTGTTTGGTACTGGCTGTCTGTTTGGATGTACTGGATTCAAATGTTTGTATACTGAAATACAGTCATATAAAAATTAACGACCTCTGTGCTTGTGATACGCTGGTCAGTGTTAATTAGGTTTCAGGTTCGAAATTCAAATATTTGTCAAATGTTTGTTTGGTACTGGCTGTCTGTTTGGATGTACTGGATTCAAATGTTTGTATACTGAAATACAGTCATATAAAAATTAACGACCTCTGTGCTTGTGATACGCTGGTCAGTGTTAATTAGGTTTCAGATTCGAAATTCAAATATTTCTCAATTGTTTCTTTGTTATTGGCTGTCAGTTTGGATGTGCTTCCAAATGTTTGCCAACTAATTCTCGTTATCACACACTATCGTATCCCTGATATCCTATCCTGGTCAGAGACTATAGCACTTGTTTTCTAACCCTGGAGCGTCACGTCTGCCAGTGAGGCATTCGAACCGTTAATAAATATTATTAATATTCTTACACATTTTTGAGTTATCGTTAAAATTGTCTTAAGTAATGTGTGTATATTTATTTTATAAGGACACCATGGAAACTATCAATAGGTTAGGAGAGTAGCAATGAAATGAAATGAAATGAAATGAAATGAAATGAAATGAAATGAATATTTATTGCTTAAAATGTGGTACATGTGTGGTTTTTAAGATCTTTAGAACTAGTTTCACACATTTTGTCATTTCTGACATGCAACAGACAAAACAGATGTCAATTTTGGTTATTATTCATTAGTCAATATTAAGTACGTACATTATTTATAATATGAGTATGTCAACTTCGTATTAATGAAATATTTATAAATTATACATGTCAATGTTTTTAATTAAGTAAGTACTCCTGAACACTGTAGTAAGATTTGCTGATTAGCCATCTATGTAGTTCTTTCTTGAATTTATTTCGACACATAAATTTACAATTTCACTTGGCAATTTATTATATATCTTAATCGCCATGGCGTGACAGTTTGAACTGCATAATGACGTCTTTATAGATGGTAACATCAATTTGTCTAAGTGTCTTGTACTGTATTTACTAGGAACATCTTGTCTCCGTTTGAACAGTTCAGGATGCAGTCTTACAAATTGGCATATAAAAAGGTTGAGAACTTCTAACCTATAACTATAGGATTAAGCCTTAGTGCCACTTATAGATTAAAAAATCTAATAACAAATAAATGTACTACAAAGTGCATTTAAAAACATAAGTTATATAGGAACTTAATTTCTGGTATCCATCCTGCTTAAATAATTAACCATTTACATAGATCTCTGTAAACCTTTATAAATTTGGTAATGTTTATTTACTTACAACACATTTATGTTAAGGACATAGTTATTATTCTAGTTAAAGCTGAATATATACAGACAATGTTATTGACTTTGGATTTTTCCCATGATGTGAACATGAAACTCACTGAGCTTTGGGATGAATAATAGACATATAATGTAAAAGAATTAAAAAATATTGCCTATGGTGTTGGAGGTGAGTGTGGCTATGAAAAATGTGATGAATCATGGAGCTAATTGAATGAGGAAATTACAAAAAACAAAAGCAAATATATTGAAATATATTCTTGTAAAATGGGAAACTAATATAATAATATTCATTTATTGCCAGAACAAAAGAAACATATACATACATATAGTCCGTACACTGTTTGTTGATCAAAACTATAAACAAATGTGCCTCTTAAACTACATATAAAACAGAAACAGCAGTACCTGACACTGTATATTCTGGGCAAAAGGGGCTGACTCGGCAGATGCTGTGAGTGTAATATTTACATGTATATTACAGAGTGCTGATTTTCAGTATTATTAATGTGAAATATTGATGTGTTGTAATTGTGATGTATGGATGGATGAAACTTTACAGTAAGTTTCATCCATCTATCCATATATTCTTCTGATGTATACCTATGTCAGAAGAACACATAGGCTATAAATTTCTAAAAGGTAAAACCGCTGGCACACCTGGGTTGAAATAAAGATAAAAAAATAAATGTCAGGTAGGTGATGTTACTTATTTGTATATTACAATTTAATATTAACATTCCTTATATATTAATTAATATGTAGTTTGCAAACTTTTTGCAATATTTCATACAGTGTACTATAAGATTCTTATTGGGTACACATATTCTTATAACATCATATGGGACTATATGACTCCAATTTATAAGAAATTATTATTGAGTTTTTATACCTAATTATTATATTAATAATATATATAAATTTTAACCTTTTCTGTACATGAAATTTCCATTAACAATACATATACTAAAAATGTATCTGATCACTATCAGCATAGATAATAAAAAACTTTAAGGTTGCAATTTGGACAATAATAATTTTTCAAAGGTTCATATGAGATATGTTCAGAACTCTATATATCAAATGTAGCTGTCTGTACAGACAAGTAAAGGACATTTGAGAAAATATATGATTCACTAAATAGAATAATAAAACCCAAAACAATGACTTAGATTTTTTATTTAACTGTAAATTTGTATATGGTAATTTCAGAAATGGCTTAACCAAGTTTGAATGAACTTTTATTAACATACAAGCAAACACATTGCTGTGGCTAAGGTTCTTGAATAAAATAATATTGCAACTATAAATTGAGATGTAAGCTATCATATCTTCAAGTTGGATCAAATTGGACACAATGTGCAAATCAGTTTGCAATCAGTTCAGTAGTTTAGGAGTCCATCGCGGACAAACAACAACACATAATTTTCATATATAAAGATTATGGTAGCTCTTAAAATTTAAAATTTGTTTTGTTCCCGATTAGTTTACAATCAACAAGAGATTATACTTGTACAAAGTAAAGGCTACAGCTAGTATATAATATTCCATACAGTCTTAACATTAATATGAGGTTCTTTGATGTTTGTTATTAATTTGGTATCAAGCAAAAACATAACATATAATAAACATGTTTTGACCAATTGGTTATACTATAAAGCCTGAATTAAAAACAATCTCACAAAGAAACACATTTTAACGACATCATACCTAAATAGGTACATAACACGTTATCAAAAGCCCACGTTGCTCGCCGTTGCCTCGTTCGGCATTAACTAGCACGATTTCGTAACAAATATATGCGAATCGTCAATCACTATATCGTATGATTGAGAAGCTAGTCTAGTACAGCAGTGAAAGTGCCTACAAATGCACTCGCTGCTCACTCGCTACCACCCGCGCGCCGTGACATGTCCACGGTCACTATTGTATCACTACAAAAACAATTTCACACAGCTGCCGTGAATGACTACTGAATCTAATTGATAAGAACGGGTAAACGTATAAAAATAATATTATCAACCGTGACATTTTTATAGGAACACAGACATCAGTTTCTGCAGCTATGTTTATATAATGGGAACTTTTTAAACATATTTTGTTGAAGTAAACAGCAGCCAGGGCTAATAACTCATCGAGTTAACATTATCAATTACAAAAACAATCATTGCAACCGTTCTATATAGGTATATTGTAAATTGCACAGAAAAAAATACAGTAGCATTGAGAATTATCTCCTTTTGGCAGTCGGTTGAAAATATCGGACGATGTAACGGTATTGTGACCGCCAGGCTTTTTACCTGCATGAACAAAGTATGATTGAATAAAACTCACCTTATAGTAAACATCCATAACAATAACATCCGGTATTGAACGTAACTCATTTCTGTCGCACTTAGATTTCTGCAAATAGTTCACTAAATTGGTCAAACACAGATCATATAAACTTTGGGGAATTTTGCTCGCACGCCTCGTAGACGAAGCGTCAGCCATTTTGGCCAGGTAATACAACAATATTTTGAGCATTTTGCAGATGAGAGATTTGACAGTAGGTGGATTGATTCGTACGAACTTCAGGTAATTTCCTGATGCTGCTATTGGTAGATTTTAAGCTCGTTTTTGAGCTTAGTCACAAATTTAAAGCCAATTGGTTATATTTAATATTTAAGTGAAAAAGAGATAGAGATATGAATCCCAAGTCAGGTGACAATGAATAACACTATCCTTTATCCTCAAACAACAAAACAATTGATGTATGAAAGAGATAAAGATACGTTTCTAATTCGTCTTTAACAACAGCTGATTGAACAGAACGTCAAACGTGTCAGCTGACTACCGCGTCGCGGGAAACTTTAAAGAGAGAAATGGCGCCGACGTTACTTTTATGGACACACACTATCTCAATGAATAAATATTAATATAAAATACTAATGTTTTATTTATCTTTTTGATAATAAATTAATAACAATGTTGAAAGTCTATTTTGGATGTGGTGCGTGTAAACAGTTTAATGTGCCACATACAAAATGAATGTGTTATCTGCGTACACGACTTTTTCTTGATCTCTGGCCGGGTGGCTTACTTAGCATTATTATTTTCTGCAAGTGTGTATCTATGTCATACACGACACACAGTTATAATCTAGATAACTGCCCCAAACATTGAACATAGATATGTTATACGGTTGACTACAAAAATATTTATTCTTTACTAATTGCTTTAAAATATATCTCTAATACAGTAGTATTTTGCTATAAGCCTATAGAAAATGAGTGAAACTAGAACAAAAAAGGATTGTTCCTGATATAATGAAATATTTTTATGTATATGTAGATTATAAAAATTAAAATAGTTCTATTAGTATTCTTCTTTATTAATTCGTATATATAGAATCAATTTTCATATTTATACATAAATGTCGTCCAGCAACATGGACGTCGCAATTAGTTTTACTCGATAAATAGAAAAGGACACGATTAATTTGATACATATAAAATTTAGAAGTATATAACCGAAACACATAAAATACCGTATCAAATTAGAACACTGTTACATAGTGTAAAACAAAGTCGCTGTCAATGTCTGTCCTTATGTATACTTAAATCTTTAAAACTACGCAAAAGATTTTGAAGCGGTTTTTTTAATAGATTGAGGTTTATTGTAATACATGTACACCCGTGCGAAGTCGGGTCGAGTAGCTAATTATAGTATAACATTTGTACAGTCAACCATCAACTTATTCTTATCCTATTTATTTGGCGTCGGCGTAAAGTTTTTCTCTTCCAATATCCAGTACAACTCTTAAGAAACTTACGAAATAAAAAAAACATTGCAATTTGTTATTTTACAACACGTTAACTTATAATTTGAAATAGAAATAATCTTTATTAAAATAAACTTAATATAAGCACTTTTAAATAGTCAAGTTATTTAATCTACCGCTCAATCGGAATGCAGACTCATCACAAGAAACTTGTGTGTTGCTCTTTTAAATAATTATTGTTTTAATTATATTTACATTAACAAGGATATGTAGGCGACAATCAACATAGAAACCGCTACGCACTTAATATATGTTCAATGAGATAACATTGTCAGCGCTATGAATTATAAGTTAGATATTTTCTAAAAAAACATTATTATCATTTATAAACTCTTCAATTTTATAATAAGCGTTTTTAGAAAGAAAATATATTTTAAATATTGAATAATTTAAAATACGTGGAACTAGGCTTCGATTAAATGAACATTTTCATTTATAAATAAAACATCATAAAGGTATGGAACAATTTTATTGAGACAAGTATTAACTAAACATAATTAACACAGCAACCAATGGTTGCATAACTAACTAACTTAAAGCTGTCGCCTCACGCATAAATGCTCCTTTCTCTACATCCGTTCTACCACAGGTTCTACAAACATAAGATTAAATTCGAGCTAAGACTTTCTGTAACTTCAAAATGCATATTTCAGAAAATTATGAATACAATTTGCAACTCTATTTGTACTTTTATATGAAATATAAATATATATGTAATTGGTAATATCATTTTGGCAAAACAATTTTATAATGGACTAACAAAACAATAACATATTTTATATAGACTATTTTTGTTCGAGAACTCTCTCTTCTCTGTTGAATTCTCTCTGGAGTTCTACCTGTCGACCAAGTCATAATTGGTGTCTACTGTTTGCCGATGGTGAATTTGGAAATGGTTTCCAGTAAGTTGATGTATGCTGAGTGCTCGTACGCCGTGCTTAAGTCTGACAACTTTTGCACGAAGTCGTTGCTGATCCCTTTCTCTTCTAACAGATTCATTAGGAGATCATACAGATACTGTAAAAAGGAAAACATCTATAAAGTTTCTCGTTCGTTTTTAGTCAATATCTTTATGTGTACACTTAACTACGAGGTTTTCTCTACCTACTACTACAGACAACAACATGGGGTTTTATAAGTAAGGTATGCTTAGATTTCTTAATAGACACGTGACATCCCTGATGTTTCAGGCATCAACAGGCTAGTCAGGTTGACCTCCAGGCGGTTCCCCTGGAAACCATCGTGATACATTTCTGCGAATATGTCATGATGGGCTAATTGACCTGACATACACATCTTATCAACCTCTGGTGCACCGCCAGGGTAAACTGTTAGCGCAGGAGGGAGCACAATTCCATTATCCATAAAATTTAATGAGTGCATATTTTTACAGTGAAATACTAATCTTTTTTGTACACATTTTGTTGCAAACTGTACAATTTTGTACAATCATAGACAATGCAATCTAAAGGCGTGACGGAGGTGTGGTGAATACATGGGCCGATCACGTGATCTATGCGAATTACCGTCACTGCTTATCAAACGTAACATTGTTAAGGTTCTTTTAAATGTTTTGAATTGTAAATAATTTATTTTTACTCAGATGGATGGAAGTAATAATTGTAATGAGTATTTTGTTGATTCTTTCAATGTTTATATTTATTTTTCTTATCGTATTAATGTTATAAAAGCTAAAGTTTGTAATAACTAATGCTTATTTGGACAGTTTGTGATACTTTAATGGAAAATATATTGGATGGTTATAAATTAAATTTCGGACCTAGTACCCTTCGTACCTACCTATATATATAATGTAATACATATTAATGTTGTATAATACATAGATTTAATTTTCCAAGATAACATTTTTTTTCTACTAATAATCGCCCAGTGGTAGAAATTTAATCATAGACTTCAACAATAAACGAAAGAGCATATGGCAGATGTGAATTTTTTATTTTATTGATTTAATGTATTTTAAAAAAAATTACTAGCAATCTGCATCTTCAGTCCGCGAAAATTTCGCAAAAAGAGGTACATCTTCGTGCACCTAAGTCAATACAAAAAATATGAATATTCCTTATAATTGCCTAGCAATATATGCCTTATGTTTCAATCATTTATAATCAGTACGAGACACGTGTGACAGGGGTGTGATGGAGGCGTGACCGATTAAAATATATGAATTAATACTGCCTTTTACTTATCTAAAGAAACTATAATTAAATTTCGTTTTCTTATCAAATTAAGTAATTATCAATATCTAATAAATCTTCTAAAGATATAAAAAGCTGGGAACACTGAAAATTATGTGTTAAAATGATAGTGATAGGGGTGTGGTGAAGATGTGACAAGAGTGTGACAAAGCTGTGATCAAGTGAAGTGATTGATTACGGTTTCTTATCTAATAAAACTTTATCAATCCCAAAACAATATACTAATACTACATATAAAATATCAATGAAAGAATGTACACAAAACAATAATTAATTAACAAAATTTTTAATTAGTTTATTATAAAAATAAATTAAGTAAGTCAATATGCAAGTGATGGAAGCTAAAGGTGCATAATGTTTTTTTTATACACTGGTAAGTGATAACCATCGTCAATGTATATACATATATGAAAGCGCGAGTTCATCATCTTTGCAATTTTAAAAAGTATTTATTATTTATTTATCGTGGCGGTGACGATGAGTCGTCCAGTGTCAATACCCACTCTTAGATATATACTAACTAACCATGCAAATGTTGTGTTGCCATATAAATTAATATCGCTATTAAAAAATTGAGGTTGTTGAGGAGAAAAAATTACAGTTCATATTTCTTAAGAGCATCTCAAAAAAAATTCTTTCCAAATGTATTTTATCACCCTTATCACTTAGGGCTATAAAAATAGATAACCTATTCTCAGACCTACCGAGTAAACATAAAAAAAGAATAAAAAAAATATATAAAAATTTTCGAAGAATTATGCCAACTAAAACTGTGGCTCGAGAATTTTATATATTATATATATTACATGTACAAGTATATACACGCATATATACCTATATATTCATAATTGAGATCACAACTTGCTCTACAAACAGCTATAGCATGACTATAGGCAGTAGTCACTACTTCCTTCTAAGAGGGTCCTCATCTTGTCTACCATTCTAGTTTCATACAAAAAATGTAGCACATTGTTGAATATGCCCCATATAATTATGGGACATCAACTTCAACTAAATGCATTAATATACCCCATTATTGGCACTCAAAAACTACATGTGATATAGTATCAAGTGTGGCAATGAAATGGGGTGGTGTTATAAAATTACCGCGGCTAGGGCTCGAACCTGGACTTCGAAAGCCAAAAGCCGTGACTACGGCCGTTAGACTGTGGTAACGAACAGGTGAATAGGCGAAAATCTTGACTACTTGAAGTAGAAGTTGAAGAACTAAAGTTGAAAGGACGATTATAAATGATTGTATTCATAATAATATGCACCAGTGAGTTAGTAGACAGTTATTGCGTAACAAAAAAAAAATCATAATATGGACATAACAAGATCTCTTATGTTTTGTATGTTGGTAATCAACTGGTGAATTGATTACAAATATTTGGGTAATTCCTGTTGATTCTATTATATTTTAGTCTTTTTATAAAAAAGTATTTTTCCTAAGACTTGTGATCCCATAAGTACAAAAATAGCCTTTATTACAACACAATAAGACTTTAAATTCATACATAGTTAACTGGTAGAGAATGCCATATGGCATTAAACTCGCCAATTGTACATGTATGAATAAAGAATAAATAAATAATAAAACATTTTTTTATTCATAACACTCAGAAAAGAATAGTTTTCCCACTTAACGAAAATAACTGCTCTGCAATTCAATTTAAAAACAATATTTCATTAGTCGTTACCCACGACTTCGTCTGTTTTTTACACAAAATAAAGCTATGTAAATCTCCATGCTACAATCTATCTTCACATCAAATTTCATTCCGATCCGTCCGGCCGTTTAGTAGTAAAAAGGTGACATACAGACACACTTTGCCATTTATGATATTAGTATGAATTCTGTTGTTTCGTTACCAACCCCATCTAGCACATCCCCGGCGACTGCGTACACTTTGTCGTTCCACTCTCCTTTGTAGATCGTTACCTCGTCGATGCCGAAGACATCATCTGCAATTAGTAAAAAAAACGTATTTTACAAAAAGCTATACGTCTGCTATTCTGTCCTGCATTATTCTTTATATCATCAGCAGTCGTGAACGACTGCTGATGATATAAAGAATAATGCAGGAAAAGTTTGGGTGCAAACTGTTATAGATAGAGAGAGTTGGCGGTTGTTGGAGAAGGCTACAAAACAAGAAAAATAAATAAACCGAAAACAATCAATACATATGTTAAAAATAATAATCTCAAGACAATTCACACAGCGCCATCTAGACCAAAGTTAAGCTAGTTAAAGCTTGTGTTATGGGTACAAGATTACTGATACAAATACATAGAACATTTTGTTTTTCGTAAATACATACATATTATACATATAAGATACCCAGACCGATACAAACAATCATACTCATGACTACAAATGTTTGTGCCGTGCGAGGAATCGAACCCGCGACCATCGGACGTAAGGCGGTGTGCTAGACCACTACTTTTTGCCACGCACAACCACATTGTGGAATCACCTTCCAGCAGTGGTATTTCCGAACCGATACGATATTGAAACCTTCAAGGAAAGAGCTTATTCCTTTTTAAAAGGCCGACAACGTACTTGCAATTCCCCTGGTGTTGCGGGTGCTCATGGGCGGCGGTAATCACTTACCATCAGGTGGGCCGCATGTTCGTTTGTCCCCTGTGTTATAAAAAAAAAAAGACCGCTAGACCGGCGAGGTCGTCAAAAATATGTGTTATATGGAAGAATAAAGCTGAAGTGGAAACGCCACTAAACATCCCATGTGGTTGTAGCCCACTCATGCATAAACGAAATATCTCATATAAGTCATTGGGCTCCCTAAAATATGGTCGAGCGCAGTGATGGCTGGCTCATCCGTCATACTCGTGAACGAGTGCTGCTTGTAGTGACTGGTCTGCTCTTATCACTACGACTGATTTAATCTTATTGTGTTTTTATATTTGAGCCTAAATAAATTAGTGCTGGTTGGTAGTTTGTATTCACACGTTTCGACTTGTAAAATGTGAACTTACAAGGATTGTTTAAAAGAGCAACACACAAGTTTCTTGATTATTCTTCTTGTGATGAGACAGCTTTCCGAATAAGCGGTAGATTTAAAAAAATGTTGACTATTCAAAAGTGCTTAAATTAAGTTTATTTGAATAAATGATTTCTATTCTATTCTATTCTATTCTCCTTTGGAAAGCTTACACTCTATCCTGAGGAGATAAACACTATCGCTCCTAAGAATTTCCTTCAAATATTGTTCCTGCCGAATCTCGGTAGCGAACAAGGAAAAATGTGCGAGCACAATAGATCTATGCAGATCGTAGTGCTACAGGTCTAACACCTGACAGTAGTCCAAACAACCCAATAAAAATAAGCATAAAGTTATAATAATAATAATTCGTTACATAAATATCTCTTTTTATTTTTGTGCTTATGTTTTGATTTCGTTCATATCATTACATAGTATAAAACAAATTCGCTATCGCTGTCTGTCCCTATGTATGCTTAAATATTTAAAACTACGCAATGATTTTGAGGCTGATTTTAAGAGATAGAGTGATAGAGGAAGGTTTATATATATATATATATAACATGTACACCCGTGCGAAACGGAGCGAGTAGCTAGTTTTCTAATAGAAATTATAAATGTTCAAACAGTACTAAAATTGCTAAATATTTTTGGAGGCTTAATTGATGGGCGTCGCAAAAAAATTAGCAAAGTCTCAAAGGCGTCACAATACGAATAAGTTTGGGAAACCCTGACATAAATAATTAACTTACTGTATTCATCACCACTTGTTGCTGGTGGCTCTTGCAAAAACGAACAGGTGAATCCTAGTGTGGTGTCGCCGCGCACAACGTCGACCTCAAACTGCGGCTTTGAGCGCATCTCAGCAAATTCCTGCTTCTCCTGCTGTACCTCACCCTCGTAGTCATCAGAGTCTACTGTATGGTTCACATTGAAGGTAATTCTGATGCTATAAGAACAATCATCAATTTTATTTCATAACAATTAAATCATTACGGTTCCCAGAAGGCTTCTGCGCTTCTGAGAGGAATTTGGCTGGCTACTTTTGTATTCTTGGCTCTACACACGCAACAGGCCAGATGAGAAGCTAAATGCGGAGAATAGAGTCATATTATATTACATCACATTACATCATAATGGACATTTATCATAGCTAATGATTCTTCAATGAGAGGCACACTATAGGCCAGACCAAAAACATTTTCAAAGACTCTTGCAGAGTTAATTATTGACCCAAGATCTGGTGTAGCCAATACACACATATATAGCAATTCAAAGAGTTCCCTCTACAGAAGCAACTCCAATAAACTTAACAAATTTATATATATATACGTATATATATGTCTGTACTAGTTACTACCTGCAACTTTGTTTGTACATGTTACAATTTAGATAGTGACAATAGTCAAGCCTTAAATGAAGTTTGATGAAGCCAAAATATGTTTGACAACATACTGGAAGAAATAACTAGGTTTATAGATGAAAAAAAATAATCCCAGAGTAACAAATCTCAAGTGTGTAAAAAATTATGTCTTACAGTTCATCTTTAAGTTGTTTGCTAAGCACAACCTCTGCTCCATCTCCCTTCACGGTGAAGCCCTCCACATCGCTGGGTAAGCTTTTAACCTTCTGTGCTTTCCGTTCTGCCACTATTTCTTCTGTAAGGAACTCTACTAGTTCTCTTTCACCTGTTTATCAACAAGAAAGTCTATTACTCCTCATAATTGAGGGGAAAGGGAATTGTTAGTGATGTGTACTGATGTTTGTTATTTTTAAATGGATGATAATGATATGGTTTACCTGCCTACTTCAGCGCAGGCATGTGAATATCACCTGCCTGCACATTTGAGCCATATCACGCAGGCACAGTTTACACTGGCGGGGCACCAGTGAAGGATGATGCATGAGGTCAGTTCAATTATGCCATATATTATATTATATTAAAAATAAAAAACTCCTCATTATTAGCTAAACAACAGAATCAATCTTTATTCATGGATCTAGTTAAAACTACTGTCAGTTTGAATAGACAAAAAGTAACAAGAAACATATGTCACTCTTTAAAAGAGAAGATTCCACATGTTAACTTAAATTTCAGTCAGAGTGGTAAGTATCTACCATCCTCAATGCAATAAAGTAATTTAATCAGTAGCTATTTCTTTTTTTATATGTCCATTGTTGCCATTACTAATAATTCCGTCTCTCCTAATATTGAGATTAGAATTTATTTATAATCATAATAAAATGTATAATTTCCTCATGATTGAATTATTGCTACTTAACTGTGTTGAAATTGAATAGGACTGACATGTGAATTGACAACAATTATCTTAAATTAAAATACAATACTATCCTGAAGCATATGGGTAAAGTCATGAATTCATATCATATATATATATAGTCATAAGAAATAAAAAATTCTATATTCAACTGGTGTCTTTAACTTATGATTAAAGACCTTAGGGCTCTCCACTTAAGGGCCTATATAAAAAGAAGTTTATCTAGGCCCTTTTTACAATGTTTGAAATAATAATGACAAATTATTTATTCCTTTCATCATTTAAGTTACATAAGAAAAAGTAAAAATTATAACTACTATTGTGATCGGATGAATAGATGATTTCATGGATGAAGATTACAAGGTTCAGGGAGAGCAGTTAAATAAAATTAGTGGATTTAGAGACAAATGACACTTTATAATTTAAATGTACTAATCAAGTATATCTTTTAATTCACATGTTAAAGACAGCATTGAAAAATCTCATTTCTCATGTAGGGACCAGCATTTTCTTTTTATTAATTGTGTGTATTGTATTATAAATATATTTTTAATGTACAATTTGAGGTAGATATTATTTAACCCCTAAATGTATTTCAATTAAAATGCCCACGGGTGCCCATTCCCAACATGTAAATTTACTTTAGTTGCAAAGTGACCCACCATTGGGCATGTGGTCTTTAACATGTTATATTAAGAAATAAAATATAAGTATAATTAGTAAATCACGGGATCTTACCATGTTTTATTTTTATTGAATTCCCGATATTTCGGCAGTGTCTCAACGGGCATGATCACGGGTGGTAAGATCCTGTGATTTACTAATTATACTTATAAGTAATGACCGCATCAAACTTAAAACAGAAAATAAAATATTTTACTAAACTGAGGAATGAATTTTACTTTTTAAAAATAAAACCTATAATGAAAGAGGTTTCACAACAACTATGGTAGAAAAGTAAGGCTAGGAGTTAAGGTTGGAAAAAGGAGTAGGGAATAGGACTCACCGAGGGGCTTAGGTTGCATTGATTGGTCTTCTTTATCTGTTATAAAACCATTGATTATTAATTAAGTATAGTTATTACTTTAAGGATTGAAGCATGGTGCAATCACATAACCTAAAAAATTTAAGTTGAGGTTACCTTTGGTATGTATAGCTTTGAGACCACAACCGCAACTGCAGGTATTGGAATGATTGTGAAGTAATCCAGTTGCGGTGGGGCCCTCAAGTCTCTTGGAACAGCTCATATGCCATATTCCCCTCGTGAAATCGCGTTTGACGGGAGCTTGGGAGCGGGTCACCAGTGCACTCGTTAAGCTCGAATGTTTAACGCAATTTATAACTCTGTGAGCGGTTTTCACTAAACCATTCATTTTGATAATAATGCGGGCTTAGATTTTTTGGGACGAACAGTGAAACAAAAGTTTTTAAAATTTGTCAAAAAAATAGCAGCAACTTTTTTTTAATCAGTTCAGTATTGCCAGTGCTACTTTCACTTGCCAGATAGTTTATATTTTTTTATCCGATGAAGGTTAAAAGGCTAGTTTTTTTTTTATTCACCTGTGAGCTTTTTTATACTAGCTACTCGCCCCGGCTTCGCACGGGTGTACACGTATTATAAATATAAATCTTACTCTTGAATCACTATCTATAAAAAAAAGCTTAAAATCCGTTGCGTAGTTTTAAAGATTTAAGCATACGTAGGGACAGACAGCGACAGAGACTTCATTTTATACTATGTAATGATATATATGTATATACTACTGTAAGAAAATTCTATCTTTGACGAGTCCTCGAATTTCAACTATACTCTGTGGTAAATTTTCTGTCATTTGACTTACTGTCAATATCGTGTCACTTCATAAACAGTGTCATTCTCACGTGTTGTAAAATTGTCTTATATTCATAAATTAATTGCTACGTGTATAGTTTGTGAAACATTACTCTTATATTTTAATTATCCATCTGATTATGGGTAAAAAGCGAAAACTGGTAACAAAAGCTCCAGCTGCCAGCCAGAAAAATACTCCAGTAGAGGTTATTATTGAAGATGTAACGAAACATCCTCTGTGTATGCATGGTCCTACATTATTGTTTTCTAGTGACAAAGGCCGGTATTATGCATGCGCGTGCTGCAGGAACAAAGAATGTTCAGTTCACATCGAAGAGAAGGATTGGGAAAAGGAAGGTGTAAGGAAACGAAATGAAAAATATTATAACCTTATACCTAAAATTGATAAAGCCGCTGCTTGGAAAAACTTTAATGATGTTAGTATAAACCACTCTTAAGTATATAATAGTGTATTAAATAATAAATAAATAACTGGACAACTCACGGAGCTCAATTTAGTTCCAAATAACTTTTATTATGGATCAATTGATAGACAATTGATATTATAATTTTTATCCATATTTCTTATGTAATATATAACATATGTAACAACACGGGGCCCATGCCCCGAGCGGCAATTTCTGCGGGCAGCAAATTCAAAATACTGTTTATTTTGAGTACACAGTAAATAGTTTATATTGAATATTTAAAAAATAACAGTTATGTTGGTTCTTCTAGTTCTTCTAACCAATGAACCTTAATTGATTTTTACAGGTGAAATTCAAACATTCATCAGATAGAGCTTACTGCAACACATGTCAGGAGCTGTACATAGTATCACAGAATAGGAAACATGTAAAAGACCACAGAGTAGTCACACCATTAACTGACGAGCAGCTGGTACAACCATCTTCCTGGCTACCAACCCTGGAGACTGATACTGTTGAAGCTCAGTATATGTTCACTAAGAAATCAGTTGGAACTGTGTTAGGTATATTGAGGAATAATAATATCAAGTAAGTTGATTTAATTTGGTTATCTAAATATATATAACTCAAAGGTGACTGACATAGTGATCTATCAACGTACAGCCCAAACCACTGGATGGATCGGGCTGAAATTTTTGCATGCAGCATGCAGGTAGATGTTATGACGTAGACATCCGTTAAGAAAGGATTTTGGTTAATTCGGGTGTGTGCACCATTACATTACCATATGCTAAAAACATAGTAAGCTCAAATTGTTACCTAAGGGCTATAAAAATGTTCTAACAAGTTGCCAGACGAGCCAATTCAATTTAATAAAATTAATGTAATGTAATGTATTTAATTTAATTACAGCTGAAACTTCTATTACGTTTTCAAAGGCGAGATTATTGGAAAGTCAAGGATTAACTTTTATATTTGATTTTATTGCGAGGAAAAACAATAGTACTTTTTCTACGTAACAGGACACACCCAATCACTTAACAGTGATATTTATCTACCATCATAAAAAAAAATAAAAATAAAAATATCAAATTATATGTGGGTAGTTTGAACCAGAGAACAAGGTGGTAAAATTAAATGTTGCAGTAAATATGTGCTTAGGTACAAACAAAAAACATCTAACATACCGCCCACCAAGGACATATTATGACAAGTATGTCCTTCAACACCGCCCACCTTGCTACTGTTTCAATTATTTAAATCACTAAATTATCTTAATTAAGCCATAATTATATCTAATAACAATTATGTACAAAAATGTAAACAATTAACAATAAACTATAATGAAGTAACATGATGATGATTAATATGCAAAAATTATAAGATCTTGTTTTAACTTTGATCTTCCAATATCAACAAATTTTACCTTATTATGTATACAATACAACAGTTAGTCAGATACAATGCAGTGAATTAAACGTAAAAAAAAACAATAAAAAACAAATCTGGTCTGTGTTGACCTACGCATGTATGCAACATATCATAATAGTGCTTACATATGAATACCTTTACCTAGACATATTTGAATTATTTACTGACACTTTGTATATATACACCAATAAGTGCGAAACGAAACTGATCTCAAACAACATATTACTCATAGTTATTTAGTTATAGGTAGCACGCATAATTTAGAGGTAGGCCTTTTGATTACTGAATCTTTAGTACTCAAAGTTACTACTCGTGTAAGTTTATCAGGACCCGGGTGCTTCTGTTCTACCTTTCCCAATAACCACCTACCTGGAGGCAAATCGTCTTCCTTTACCAGTACTATATCACCAATGTTTGGTTCCGGTATTTGATGGGCCCATTTATGTCGCTGTAAAAACTGATTTAAATAATCCTGAGACCAAAGACGCCAAAAAATTTGCAACATTCTCTGTGATAGTTGCCATCGTCTAAGAGTAGTTATACCAGAATCCTCATAATTTGAATCGGGTACTACAACAAGTGGTTCACCGACTAGGAAATGGGCTGGTGTTAACACTGTTTCTTCGGTTTGGTCAGCCACGTATGATAAAGGTCTCGAATTAAGACACGCTTCAATTTGTGCCAGCACTGTTATCATCTCTTCAAAGGTCAACGTCGAGTTTCCAACAACTCTTCTTAAATGGTATTTTACAGATTTTATCCCCCCCTCCCAGAGCCCCCCAAAGTTAGGAGCACGAGGAGGGATAAAATGCCACTCTGTTCCGTTGGTTGCAAGTGATTGGGCCAATTCTGGTATAAATTTGGATTTTTCCTCCTTGAATAAGTCGCTTAGCTCCCGCGCAGCGCCCACAAAGTTAGTGCCGTTGTCGCTATACAAATGAGAACAACGGCCACGTCTGGCAACAAATCTCTTAAATGCAGCCAGAAACCCTTTAGATGTCAAATCACTAACTGCTTCCAAGTGCACAGCGCGTGTAGACATGCATATGAAGAGTGCAATGTAACCTTTGGCGGCGCGGGTGAAATAAATATTGTTTGATTTTGATTTAAGTGGACTGTATCTAAATAATCTGACGGGTACGTGGATTGACACGATACACTGTTAGGTTGGTGATTGAGAACTGCTTGTGAGGATGGAACACAAAGAAAGACAGTTCTGGTAAGGAAGGAGGCACAGTACCTTTGAATTGTAGGTTGCAGTGCGGCGGCTATCGGTGTCTCCAGGTCCCAGCTACTTGCTTCACAACAATGGCACAAACACAATGGTCTTAAACACACTAGAGCGATGCGGTGGATTAAAATGTTTAGTAATTATCACGAATTACAAAAAACTTGATCTTAAGCGCGATCAAGGCGGGAATTCAATGTCAACTTCAGCGTTCAATTTAACAGTGACGCGCGAGCGCGATATGTCACTTTCGATACAAGCGAATCTTCTCGCTCGCACTTAAAACAAAGGTATGTGCGGGAATAGGAGAGGATAAGGAATTAGTGTAGTGCCAATCCTTAGAAAATTAACGTTTCGTACCACGCTAAATTATTTATTTGAACAAACTATTACTAATAATAATTATACAATGATAAACAAAAATATAATGTTATATGGCGCAACCATTCCCCCCGCCTTGAAGGGACGCCTTCAAAGTAAAAATAGAAACTTAAAATAAACTAAACCTTAACCTAGAACTCGTATTAACTAAAACTAATGTCTAGGTAAGGGGCACAGACGTACAACAGGGCGCAAATAAGAGCCGGTTGCAGTTTTTACACGAACAACTCGAATTACGCCGTCAGAAGCCGGAAAGACCTCTTCAATAACCCCTAAAGGCCAATGAAGTGGTGGCGCGTTTTCAGTACGTACAATTACAACTGTTCCGACAGTAATCTGATTGACGGGTGTATTCCATTTTTCGCGAGATTGTAATGTGTGCAGGTACTCCGCTCTCCATCGCTTCCAGAACGTTTGCACTAATCTGTCTAATAATGCGTGGCGTGAAATCAAAGAACTGTCAGCTATTTCTGCGGCGGGCAAATATTTCAACGGAGTAAAATTTAAAATATGTGCGGGTGTTAATAATTTTGCGAAACGACAGATATAAACTACGCAGCGAAGAAGCTTGGACCAAGAAGAAAAGCGATTTGCCAGAGCGATGAAAACAGATTCTTCTGGCGGTGTACGAGTAACAAAGGAGAGTTTCTTCTCCTCAGGCGGGTCCATAACAGCAGAAGGATTGAAAGCGGTGACTGGCCATTCCGAAAAGGTGGATTTAGCCCACTGCGGGCCGTTGAACCATAGGGGGTGGTGAATTATTTGGGCAGGAGTAAGCCCTCGCGATAGACAGTCGGCTGGATTGTCCGAACCAGACACGTGATAAAAATTATGCGGTGAAAGCAGAGATTGAATTTTAGAAACTCTATTCGCGACAAAAGTATCCCACCTGTGGGGCGATGCGTGGATCCAACATAAAGCAACTGTTGAATCAGAAAATGCGTGTATTGCCTTAATTGGATAGCGGTTGTTAACAGCGGTAACAATATTTTTAATTAAATTAGCGAGCAAAAGCGCTGCGCAAAGTTCGAGTCGGGCCAACGACACGACCTTGCGGGGTGCAACCTTAGATTTTGCACTTATAAGATGCACAGTACTCACACCATCATTCTCGACGTGGAAGTACACAACAGCACCATAAGCCTTTTCACTAGCGTCTGCGAAGCCAATGATGTTCACCACACTGCGTTTTGTGATGTCAACATGGCGCGGTAATTTAATTTGATCTAGACTGGGGAGCTCATCCCTGAAACGTGACCATTGTCTGACGATAACGTCAGGGGGGGCGTCGTCCCAATCGCAGTTGCATAACCATAACTCTTTGACAAGAAGTTTGGCAAATAATATAACGGGTGCTACGAAACCTATTACATCCCACAATCTTGCGACACAAGATAAAATGGTGCGTTTTGTACACTTTTCAGCGGGCGTACAAATTTTTAAACTAAATAAATCAGAGCTGGGAGACCAGCACAGACCCAGAATTTTATGCGTATCAGACACATCGAATTCTACGACCGATGAAAGTCGATGTGTTGACGGAATGGAATTTAAAACTACTTGCGAATTGCTCGTCCATTTGACAAGATCAAATTGTCCGGCCTTCATGAGTGAGATGATCTCAGCAGCTGTGACGATAGCCTCATCTTCACTATCTAGACAATATACTAAATCATCCATGTACAGACCGGTGTGAACCGCTTCCTTAGCTTTTGGGAACGATTCGCCTTCGTCGGTGGCTAACTGCTTAATAGTACGCAGTGCAAGAAACGGACTCGATTTGAGTCCAAAACAAACGCGATTAAACTGATAAACCTGGAGAGGTTCGTCAGGCGAAAATCTATACAATATGCGTTGAAATCTGCGGTCACTCTCTCTAATACGAATGCAAAGAAACATTTGCCTAATATCGGCAGAGAGAGCTACTGAAAATAATCTGAAGTTAACTATAATATCAAATAAATTGCGTTGTAAATTCTGTCCATTATAAAGAAGATCGTTGAGAGATACGGACGTGCTAGTTTTAGCGCTAGCATTGAGTACGACGCGCAATTTAGACGTGAGTTTATCTTTTCGAATAACTCCATGGTGCGGTATTATATACGAAGGAGCATTACTATCATCATTAACGGGTGCGGGTGAAATATAACTCTTATCTAAATACTCCGTAATGACGTCATCATAGGCTTGCTTGAGTTCAGGCGAAGCCTGCATTTTGCGTTCGAGACAAAAGAAACATTTCTCGGCTAATCGACGCGAGTCGCCAAGAGAATGTGCATTACCCTTGAAGGGAAGCGCGACGGTATAACGACCGTCGTCCTCGCGAGTGGTAGTGCCAGCATAAATAGCTTCACACTCCTTGTCGTCCGGGCTGAGAATCGGTGCAACATTCACCTCTTCCATTTCCCAGAATCTACATAGAACGGATTCCATCGTGGGTTCGGTAACACAACAATGCGCGGTGGTAGTGTAATTACAATTATCTAACATATTAGACACGGAAGTATCGGTATTTGATCTAGCGGGAGCTGAACCTACAATAACAAAG